ATCTTGAATTACGGTTAAGATTAGACCCTATGCCCTGACCGAGTTGAATCTGTACAGCTTTGCAAACGGTTTCTGTAAACAATGACCCATGGTGGTTGATATTATTTACAGATAAGTTTAGACGTCGGTGACCTGACCGCTGATCGTCTGTGCAGACTTGCCAGTTTCTTCCCTTAATCTTTTTACTTAACTTGCCTTTTAGCGACAACGCTATTGTGCAGTTATGGAAATCCTTTTTCATCGAGTATGTTTGTAAAAACTTGTTGTCTCTTTGCTTGTTTACTCTCTGTTCATATTTGGTCTGCAAGTGGGTATCTACAAGCCTAAGCAGTTAGGTCTCTCTGCTAGGACGTCTAGTAACGTAAACCCCTTCAAAGTTCACATTCTGTCATTAGAAATCATAACTAGACTCATGTATTATTGCATTACTAAAGAAGGAAAACCGTCCTCTGCGTGATTAAGGAACGGTATGGCTTAGGCATACTGCGTCTGAATTTTTGTTGTTTTACGTCATCATGAAGTTTGTCACGTAGTTATTTACTCTAATTTTTAAACTTGCCTGAAGTTTTTGAAACATTTCCGGTGTTAATAAACCGTCAAAATTTTTAAATGTCGCAGTACAAATAAAAATTAATTTTGGTTTTGAAGACAACGAGAAGAGAGGTTAAGGGAAATTTTAAAATACTTGATGATGACACTATTTAAAATAATAACTCAAACGTTTCACCATCGTAGACGCGTACGCTGATATATCTAAAGTAAAGAAAGATGAAAGAAACCAGAAGAAAATCCTTACCTGTCAAAAGTTGGTACACTACCCATACACTTGTTTTATCAAAATATTCCGAGAAAAAGCAAACCTATTTCTGTTACATTCACTTCTCTACAGTCAAATTGTTCTCTACTTATAGACAATTTAAATCTTACTTAAAAAACTTGATTACAGCAACGATTTAAGATATCAGAAAGTGTGAAAAAAATTTTACGAAGCAGTAATTACTCCGGTTCTGGCTACTATAATCAACTAAAAACTTATAACTTCCAAGAGAATCAAGTAATACTACAAACTTAAAATTAATGAACTTACAATAGGATGGCACACAGCCGAGTACATAAAGGAAAGGAATCTCAAACTGCCTACTGGACACAACCTCTGATCCTTGAAGAAGTCGATTAATAAAAGGAGGAGCGTTGAGAAAAGTAATCAACGAGGCTATATCGAAAAGAACTGGACTTGAAAAGCTTGAGTTGAACGACTAATTTAACTTTTTGCGAGTCAGATGACAATTTCTTACAGGTCCTGGCATCGGTCGGCTTGGGCGGTCATTTACATAATATTTTCAAGAGTCTCCACTTAGAGGGTTACAGTCAATGATCTTATGTGTCGCACTTTCCCTACAGTGCCTTTCACGTGGAACCATGACAGTATCTCGACACCTCTGCTTCCTTTCCAACAAACAAAATAAAAAGATGATTAGA